AGGCAGGAAAATTGCGTAAACCTGGGAGGCTGAGGCAGGAAAATTGCATAAACCTGGGAGGCGGAGGTTGCGGTGAGCTGAGATCATGCCATTGCACTCTAGCCGGGCAACAAGAGTGAAACTCCATCCAAAAAAAAAAAAAAAAAAAAAAAAAGAAGAAAATGCCCTAAAGTGCCCACACGACATCATTCTTAGATGCTTTTAGATGTTTGATGTTCTAGTAGCAACACTGGGGGATGCTCTGCAGTTGACACTCCTTGTAATTCTCTCATGGAACCTTTTGAGGACGGGAGGCTTGAGCAGTGTGTACAGAGCCACAGAAGTATACCAAGCCCAGGGAGGTGGGAGCAGTCTGTTCCAGAGATAGGCAGTGAGAATGTATTTGTGATCTATTTCTATATAACAATTTACTACAAACTTAGCAGCTTACAACACCACACATTTGTTATCTCACGGTTTCTGCAAATCAGGAGTCCAGGTATAGCCAGTTGCTTATGTAGCAAACTCCATCCATCTTCTGAACAGAACAGTGTTGGGTTCAAGGTCTTGCAACGCTGAAATCAAGCTGTCAGCTGAGCTGTGTTTTCAGCTGGAAGCTTGAGTGGGGAAGAGTCCACCTCCAACCTCACTCAGGTTGTTTGCAGACTTTATTTCCTTGTGGCTGTATAACTAAGAGCTCTGGTATTTTGCTGGCTCTTAGCTGGAGGCCACCCTTAGGTCCTAGAGGCTGCCATGTAAACTTCTTCAACATAGCTGCTCGCTTCATCAAGCCCACAAGAACCTCTCTAGTGCATGCCAGCAAGATGGGGTCATACACAGACATAATTCCGGAAGTGACATCCCATCACCCCTGCATTTTCTATTGCCAAGAGACAAGTCTCAGGTTCCACCTGTACTCAGATGGAGGAAATTACACAAAGGCATGGACATCAGGAAGCAGGAATTACTGTGGGTCATCCTAGGATTTGTTATCCACAAGGGATCACATTATCTGCTTAGAATTTCAAACTAATAATAAAACCAACAAAAGTTGGTCTGCCTTTTAAATTTTTTTTCCTTATTTAAAACTTTATTCGTAATAAAAAAATGAGAAAACCCCAAAACTTTCTTCTTTAATTGGGAACCTTCAGAAAAGATATTCATAACAGGACTCAGAGCAAGGACACAGACCCCCAAACAGACAGTTTTTCCTTAATTTATCAGGCTGGAGCACAGTTTAAACCAAGCTGGAACCACTCTGGCTCTGGCCACAACCTAATCTCTACATCCTGGCCTCCATCACATTGGCTGGAAGCTGGTTCGCTTCATCCAAGGGCCTAATTTGAGGGCATTTGTAGCTTCTGCAAGTTTGAGCGTCCCTTGCTCCTGGTGCTGTCAGTGCCACTCAGCCATGGGCTGGAGCATCCACTTGGTTCAGAGCTTATACCAATAGGAGCAGTAAACCACAACCTTGGTGTGGTCTGAAGACTCCTGAGCCTTCAGCTGGAGCATGGTCTTGCTCACCTGCTCTGTGTAAGAGAGCTGAGATCTATCAAGGCCTGTTAGGAGAAGAGGATGAGAGCCCCCAGGCAGAGCACCCAAGCCAGCACTGGGCACACTCACCAAAGATGGCTTCCAGCAGCCACGTCTGGACCTGGAATACCTCTGGGCCGTTCAGGTCTTTGCACAGTCTGCCTTTTAAATGAACACTATGAGCTGGCAATTCTAATGTTGCCAGTGACAAAGTACTTCTTCCTGAAAAAAACTTTTGTTATTTTAAGTCCTTTTTTATTTTTTCGAGACGGAGTTTCTCTGTTGATACCCAGACTGGAGTGCAATGGCACAATCTCGGCTCACCGCAACCTCTGCCTCCTGGGTTCAAGTGATTCTCCTGCCTCAGCCTCCCGAATAGCTGGGACTACAGGCGCGCACCACCATGCCCAGCTAATTTTTTATATTTTTAGTAGAGACAGGGTTTCACCTTGTTGACCAGGATGGTCTCGATATCTTGACCTTGTGATCCACCTGCCATGGCCTCCCAAAGTGCTGGGATTACAGGCATGAGCCACCAAGCCCGGCTGTTTTAAGTTCTAAACAGTTGCTGGACTTACTGTTGAGTTTGAATAATGTAATGTATGCTTCATTTAAAAAAATTACTTGCTTTCCGCTATCTTTCCGTGCCACCACAGTGGTGCACATGAATGTCCTGGCTGATACTCTCAAGAGCATCAACAATGCCAAAAGGAGAGGCAAATGCCAGGTGCTTACTAGGCCATGCTCCAAAGTCACTGTCCTTAGGATTTGTTATGTGATGATGAAGCATGGTTACATTGGCAAATTTGAAATCATTGACGATCACAGAGCTGGGAAAATTGTGAAACTCACAGGCAGGCTAAACAAGTGTGGTGTGATCAGCTCCAGATTTGATGTGCAACTCAAAGATCTAGAAAAATGGCAGAATAATCTGCTTCCGTCCACCAGTTTGGTTTTATTGTACTGACAACCTCAGCTGGCATCACGGACCATGAAGAAGCAAGACGAAAACACACAGGAGGGAAAAAGAATCCTGGGATTCTTTTTCTAGGGATGTAATACATATATTTACAAATAAACTGCCTCATGGAAAAAAATTTTAAAAAATAACTTAAAAACGGAGGTAACACCATTTATCTGACTTCGGAGTTTTTGTGTTTAAAATTTAAATCTAGCCAGGTGCAGTGGCTCACACCTGTAATCCAAGCACTTTGGGAGAATGAGGCAGGCGGATCATGAGGTCAGGAGTTTGAGATCAGGAGTTCAAGATCAGCCTGGACAACATGGTGAAACCCCGTGTCTACTAAAAATACAAAAATCAGTCTGGCATGGTGGTGCACATCTGTAATCTAAGCTACTCAGGAGGCTGAGGCAGGAGAATCTCTTGAACCTGGGAGGTGGAGGTTGCAATGAGCCGAGATTGCACCATTGCACTCCAGCCTGGGCAACAAGAGCAAGACTCTATCTCAAAAAAATAAAATAAAATTTAAGGCTGGGTGTGGTAGCTCTCGCCTGTAATCCCAGCACTTTGGGAGGCTGAGGTGGGCGGATCACCTGAAGTCAGGAGTTCAAGACCAGCCTGGCCAACATGGTGAAACCCCTTCTCTAAAAAAAATAAATAATTAAAATAAAATTTAAAACTGTGAAGCAGTGTGATACGTGCTTTGCCATGTTTTTATTTGACAAATGTACATTTTAGTTAATACATCACATATTTTTACTTGATTTGAATATTATCTTTAACAAAAAATTCCTTTTATTTATGTATTTATTTTTGAGAGAGAGAGTCTCCCTCTCTCACCCAGGCTGGAGTGCAGTAATCACAATCATGACTCACTGCAGCCTTGATCGCCTTGGCTCAAGAACTTCCCACCTCTGCCTCCCATATAGCTCCCACACACACAAGTGTGTGCCACCATGCCCAGCTAATTTGTTTTTGCAGAGTCGGGGTCTCCCTATGTTGCCCAGGCTGGTCTTGAACTCCTGGGCTCAAATGATGCTCCTGCCTTGGACTCCCAAAGTGCTGGGATTCCAGGCATGAGACAGCGTCCGGCCCCCTTTTGTTTGTTTTAAATCTAAAGAAGACTCAAGAAAAAAAAAATTACATCAGTAGTATGATTTAGGAGTTGCACTACTAATACTAGGTAAGTTTTTCTTGTGCTGCCCAGGGAATAAAAACAAACAATCGCTTCCGGTCCTAGGAGCTTCGGGAACTGCGGCTTGGGTACAGACATGGCCAAGTCCAAGAACCACACCACACACAACCAGTCCCGAAAATGGCACAGAAATGGTATCAAGAAACCCCGATCACAAAGATACGAGTCTCTTAAGGGGGTGGACCCCAAGTTCCTGAGGAACATGTGCTTTGCCAAGAAACACAACAAGAAGGGCCTAAAGAAGATGCAGGCCAACAATGCCAAGGCCATGAGTGCACATGCCGAGGCCATCAAGGCCCTCGTAAAGCCCAAGGAGGTTAAGCCCAAGATCCCAAAGGGTGTCAGCTGCAAGCTCGATCGACTTGCCTACATTGCCCACCCCAAGCTTGGGAAGCGTGCTCGGGCACGCATTGCCAAGGGGCTCAGGCTCTGCCGGCCAAAGGTCAAGGTCAAGGCCAAGGCCAAGGATCAAACCAAGGCCCAGGCTTCAGCTCCAGTTTCAGTTCCAGCTCAGGCTCTCAAAGGTGCCCAGGCCCCTACAAAGGCTTCAGAATAGATATCTTTGTCTGCCAATGTGAGGACAGAAGGACTGGTGTAACTCCCCTGGGGCTGCCATCTGCATGGGGCTGGGGTCCTCCTGTGCTATTTGTACAAATAAACCTGAGGCAGGATTAAAAACAAACAATCGGCACTAATTTGGGCTCACAACATGCTTGACACTGTTCCAAACACACACACACACACACACACACACTCACACTCATTTTAGAAGTCCTCATCGACTCTCAAAGGTAGGTCCTGCTATTACCCTTATTTTTGTAGATAATAATATAGTCTGGGGTGCAGAGATCTGCTCAAGATCACCCAACCGGAATGGCAGCGCTGGAATTTGAGTCCAGGTAGTGTGGCTTCAACGCCTGAACTCTTAGCCATTAGGAAAACCAAAGCAAAATCAGTATCCCCAACAACCTTGCAGGCACGGAAGCCCTCAGAAAGGACAGGAGAGGCCGGGCGCGGTAATCCCAGCATTTTCGGAGGCCGAGGCGGGCGGATCACCTAAGATCAGGAGTTCGAGACCAGCCTGGCCAAAGTGGTGAAATCTACTAAAAATACAAAAAATCAGCCAGGTACGGTGGCGAGCGCCTATATTCCTAGCGACTTGGGAGCCTGAGGCGGTAGAATCACTTGAACCCGGGAGGCGGAGGTTGCAGTGAGCCGAGATCGCGCCAATGCACTCCAGTCTGGGCGGTAGAGTGAGACTCCATCTCAAAAAAAAAAAAAAGAAGGGACGGGAGGGCTTCCTTCCGTTCCTGACCAGCCCCTGCTGGCCCCTGGGCGGAGGGAGCGCCGGCTTCCAGAGACCTCCTGGAGGGATGTTTGGGTGTGCCCTCTCAGCGTCCCCTCCACCGCCATCTCCACACCCTTGCCGCGCCCATGCACTCGTCGACCAGGCCAAGGTTTCTCCTGGCCCTTCCCAGCTTCCGGCGCTTCGCTCCAGACCAGGTCGCAGGGCCGGGCGGTGCCAGGAGTTCACGAGTCCTCTGTTTACTGTTTGGTTTCCACGGTGATACGTAGGTGCCGTCAGCGACTCCCGTCACCGCCTCGCAGCGCGGCCCCCACCCGGCGCCGTGACGTCAGCCCGCCGCTTCCGCTCTGCCCATATTTGGCTCAGCCACTCTGCCGCCGGCCGCGGTAGGCTGGGGGCGGGACTCCCGCTGCGTCCAGCCCCCGGTCCCTGCCCCGCCCCCTGGAATGCTGGGTGAAGGCTCCAAGCCGCGAGACCCCCGCCCCCTGCCCCGGGACCCGCGAGGGCGGAGGCGAGGGCGGGGGCGTTGGGGGTCCAGAGAGAGGGTTCCGCGATTGATGGATAAGCTGTTTCCAGCATTCCTATGCGTCTCCTAGTTGAGGCTGCAGTCAAGATTTGGGGCGGTCTCGTTTGTTGTGGGTGGCTGATCTGGGATCACGATTTTCTCACTCTGTGCCCGGAAATCATGCCATCCCTCGCCCAACGCTGTATTTTATAGGCTTCAACTAAAAATTTTCCTTCATGGCGCAGTGGAAAGCTTTGAAGACCGCAGTTCTGGGGTCAGTGTTGCCCCTTAGGGGATAAGTGACCTTGGGAAGGCCACTTCCCTTTTCCTGGCCTGATAAAACGAACCGTGGGGGTGGTCCGTAATGGTTGCAGCACTGTCATCAGGCTTGTGAGGGGAACTCTCCCATCCCCCTATAAGCACCCCCTCCCCACGACGTAACTGGAATATCGGTGAAGTTCTTTGAGCGCTGACTCCTTCAGTTCTGTCCCCATAGTGATTGGATTTCTGTGTCTTTGCACCTTGCTCCTATTAAGCGCTTAATGAATAATACAATCACCTTCATAAATCCGGACCCCTGCAATTCCATTTCCAGGCGGGGGGAACGGTAGGGGGTGGGGGAGAATATTGCGATGATTAATAATCGCGCGGCAGGGTTGCTAATGTAAAGCGATTTGCACATCTAAAGGGCAATAAGCATTCCTGGGAGGAATCCAGCGAGATTCCAGAAGTTTCTGAGGGAGCCGTGGGTGTGTACCGCCGGGCCCAGAGGGCGGGGGTGGGGCAGGCAGTGCCGCAGTCGCCACTACTGGGGAGCCGATTGCGATTGCGAGGAGAGGTGTGGGAGTTAATCGTTTAAGATGCCTGTCACCATCCTCCCGCCCCCATTCCTGCCCCCTAGATTCCTCAATTCCTGGCTGAAGGAGTATGTGTTTTTCAGAGTTTCAGAGCTGGAAGGCACATCGGAGCCTTTTAATCTAATTTAACCTATTTCACCAACAAGGAAATTAAAGCTCAGAGAAGTTGATTCACCCATCCAAACTTGCACAGCTAGTTAGAAACTGATAAAAGTCAGGATTTCTAGCTTCAGATAGTGTTCTACATCCCCTAGTGCTTCTAACTTCCTGGGCTTCTGTGGCTTCAGAACCCTGTTGCCTAGCTCAGCCGGTGGGTTGTACAGTTAGGCTAAATATTGACTTCAGGGCTCTTAAAGGATGCCACTGTCACGTCTGCAGCGACACGCAGCCCACACCGTGACTGCAGGGCCTGGGGGATGACCAAGAAGTGTGTGCTTCCTAAGGCCTCAAGCATTCCTCCTTAGAGTGGCTGGAATGGTCACCCCTGTCCTGGGAACAGGAGTCGGCTGTTCTGAAGCCAGTCTTAGTCTAGTAATTGGCCACTTTTCCTAGTAGACCAAGCCTTGCATTAAACTTTTCTCAGCCAAGACTACAGCAGGAGGCATGAGTAACCTGAACCGTTTCCTGCTGTTTGCAAGTCTTTTCATGGCACATGGAGGTTCCTTGCTGGGGGTGGGGCAGATTGTCTCTTTAAAGCTTCTCTCTTTCTCTTTCCCCTTTCAGTCTCACCCAACTTCCTCTTACATGCAATTTCTTCCCTAACTTCTAGGCTGAATACGAAGGCAACTCGGATTAAGAAGACGGCTGCTTTCCAACTGCCCTCCCGCCCTGCAGCTGGCTGATTTGAGGAAGGGGCTGGGATCCTTCGCTTGCTCTCTAGTTTTTCTTGGAGTTACAGCAGTCCCGCGGCAGCTCTGCCCCCTGGTGCACCTGTGAGGCAGCGCGCCCTTCTCCAATTGAGACGCATCTTCGCGCTGCTGCCAGCAAGGGGAAGAGGTTTTCTGTATTTCACTCTGGTGGAAATAGCAAAACTGGACAGAAAAAAACCCCAAGCCAAACCAAAATACACGAACCATTCTAGTCTTTTCTCTCTCTGGTTTCTTTCTGAGGATCTGGTCTATCTGGATGCAGAAAACATGTCTGTTGCTTCTGCTGCAAAGACTGCTGTTTCTCTTCCTGCTATCCGAACCCTGCCCCTTCTTTCAAACCCTATTTCAGGTCAGGCATGGTGGTGGCTCATGCCTGTAACCCCAGCACTTTGGCAGGCCGAGACGAATGGATCACTTGAGGTCAGGAGTTTGAGACCAGCCTGGCCAACATCGTGAAACCCTGTCTCTCCAAAAATATAAAAATTAGCTGGGCACGATGGAGCATGCCTGTAATCTCAGCTACACAGGGGCTGAGGCAGAGAATTGATTGAACCCGGTAGGCGGTGGTTGTAGTGAGCCAATATCAGGTCACTGTACTCCAGCCTGGGTGACAGAGTGAGACTCCGTCTCAAAAAATAAAAATAAAAAGGCTATTTCAAATTCTACCTCTTGCCTAAAAGCTTTTCCTGATTTTTCTCTCCTATGCATCTTTTTTTTCTTTTTTAAGCTGGAGTCTTGCTGTCGCCCAGGCTGGAGTGCAGTGTTGCAATCTCTCCACTCACTGCAACCTCCACTTCCCGGGTTCAAGCAATTCTGCCTCAGGCTTCTGAGTAGCTGGGATTACAGGCATCTGCCACTTCACCCAGCTAATTTTTGGTATTTTTAGTAGAGTCAGGGTTTCACCATGTTGGTCAGGCTGGTCTCAAACTCCTGACCTCAAGTGATCCACCCACTTTGGCCTCCCAAAGTGCTGGGATTACAGTCATAAGCCACTGTGCCCGGCTGTCCAATATGTCTTTTGAAATGTGGCTGTACACAGGCCTAGCACACAGTGTGCACTTATATGCTGTGTTTCTTTAGTGGGGCCCACGTATATGTGTCTTTTGTGTTCATAGACTCCAGGGTGCCCAGCACAGGGTTGGGGACACACACTGCTATCAATAAGCCCTTGTTAATTAATTAATTGATCAGTTTCCACAGAAACAACCCTGAGCTTTTGCTCGGATAAACCTTTCAAAAGTCTTTGTTCTTTAGGGTCTCTGGATAGTGATCTAATCAAATATGGCCTTGCACAATAAGTCATTTCACAAAGCAATTTCACAAGAGAACACCACCACCACCCAGAGTGGGATGAGGAAGTCTGAAGTTTGAAGTGGACTCTCAGAAAGATGAGGAGGATGGCCGTGATGTGGACAGGTCAAAGGACCAAGACATAGGAGAGATGGTCCTCTGCTTCTGGGGAAGAAGACACAGCACAGGCTCTAGAGTTAACTTCCTTTCCTGGCTCTACCACTTGCTGTGTCCTCGGGCAAGTTTCCTTTCTGTGCCTCAGTCTTCTCATCTGTAAAAATAAGTACCCAGGCTGGGTGTGGTGGCTCATGTCTGTAATCCCAGCACTTTGGGGGGCCAAGGCATGTGGATCAACTGAGGTCAGGAGATTGAGTCCAGCCTGGCCAGCACGGTGAAACACCGTCTCTACTATGCATACAAAAATTAGCTAGGTGTGGTGGCATGTGCTTGTAGTCCCAGCTACTCTGGAGGCTGAGGCAGGAGAATCGCTCGAACTCAGGAGGCAGAGATTGCAGTGAGCCAAGACTGTGCCACTGCACTGTCGCCCAGCTTGGGCGACAGACCAAGACTCTGTTTTTTTTTTTCTTTTAAACAGTACCCATCTCATAGTGAAATAATGAGTTGATATTTGTAAAGTGCTAAAGCAGCAGCTTGCACCTCATAAGTACCATGTAACTGTAATGAATTTTCCAGCTTAGCTGTCTTGTCAATGGAATGGGAGTAGATTATATGTTCTCTTGGTTCCCTCAAGCAGTGACCTTTCAGGACAGTGCATAAGCTTTGGGGTCAGGCGGGTGTGGGTTGACTCCTGTCTCTGTCGGTGGTTGTATGACCTGGCACAGGTAACTTCTTGGAACCTCAGTCTTCTCATCTGTGAAGTGGGAATCATTGTGTCAACTTCAAAAGACTGTTGTGGGTATTGCATGTTTGTAAGGTGCCTGGTACAAAAGGATCGTGATAATCAGAAGCTATAGTTTTTATTACAGTTATTATTATTATGGACAAGTGGAGCCACGTGTAAGGGAGAATAGAGTTTCCAAGGTCACTGAAGTTTCCAGAAAGATTTAATATATTGAATAGCAATAAGACCAGCTCCACGTGTGGAGCTTGGTGGGACAGTGGGCTTGGGTCTGCACCACAAGTAATATCCTCCCATCTGAGGGAACAGAAACAGTCTGATTCGCACATCGGCTCTAAGAATATTTTCTGCTCCAGGGCTGTGCTGAGGGCGTGGACCCACTGGGGCTGGATGCCAGGAATAGAGGCCCCTCCTCTCTCCTTCCTAGGAGGGGAGACTTCAGTAGAGAGGATGTGGGGTGGGTGGGCCTTGGAAACCTCTTGTGTGTGTGTGTGTGTGTGTGGGGGGGGGGGTTGGCGGGGGTAGTGTGGGAATGGGATATCTGGCCCTGGAGGTGGACTCCTAGGCCTGGGGTGGCCTCCTTGCCTTCACGGCTCCTTCAAGCTGCCATCCTTCACTCCGACTGAGGACACCCCAGATTGATTGCCAGCAATTATCTGAGGGATCGGGGAAGGAGGGTAGTCTTGCAGCCAAATTAATGTTAATTCTTTTCAACTCCATGTGTGGAAAAGTACCCACAGAATATGCAAAGGCTGCATGTGTTCCTTCAGTGCTTTTTGAAAGGGGAAGGAGGGTTGCAAAATCAAACAATGATAGGGTGTTGCAATCCCAAACGTGTGAGGAATTACTCTTAAGGTCCTCATACTGGACAGCTCCGGTCCCTTGTGACACGTGAGGAATTTTGTGCTCCAGAACAGGCCAGGACCAGGGTGTCTACCACTCTTACCACCAGCTGTGATTTTGGAATCCCAAATACAGTCTGAGACCTGGCAAAACTATCTCAGGAACTGGGGATCACGGAGGAATCTGCACACCTCCTTCCAAACTCATATATCCAGTGGTGGCAACAGGGTGGGCCCTGAATAGCTCTTGGAGCAGAACTTGGAGGTTGAAGCTATCTTTAAAAAAAAACATAAGCTGGGTGTGGTGGCTCATGCATATAATCCCAGCACTTTGGGAGGCCGAGGCAGGCATATCAAGAGATCGGGAGTTCGAGACCAGCTTGACCAACATGGAGAAACCCCATCTCTACGAAAAAAAATACAAAAAAATATTAGCCAGGTGTGGTGGCACACGCCTGTAATCCCAGCTACTTGGGAGGCTGAGGCAGGAGAATCACTTGAACCTGCCTGAGATCCTTGCGAGGCTGAGAAGGCAGAGGTTGAAGTGAGCTGAGATCATGCCATTGCACTCTAGCCTGGGCAACAAGAGTGAAACTCCATCTCAAAAAACAAAAAAACAAAAAAATAAACAACAAAACAAAAATATCCCTTTTCCCAAAAGAAATATATGCTACTGGTAGAAACTTTTGAAACTTTACATAATCAAAAAATAGACAAAACAAAAGTTGATTGTAATCCCATCACCAGAATAACCACTGTCAACAGTTTTTTGGTTTTCTTTTTTGAGATGGAGTCTCACTCTGTCACCTAGACTGGAGTACAGAGGTGTGATTTTGGCTCACTGCAACCTCTCCCTCCCTGATTGAAACGATTGTCTTGCCTCAGCTTCCCAAGTAGCTGGGATTACAGGAGCCCACCACCAAGCCTGGCAAATTTTTGTATTTTTAAAAATAGAAACGGGGTTTAGCCATGTTGGCCAGGCTGGTCTCAAACTCCTGACTTCAGGTGATCCGCCTGCCTCGGCCTCCCAAAGTGATAGAATTACAGGCGTGAGCCACTATGCCTGGCCAACATTTTTAATTCTACCTTTTCAATATACACACTAGTTTTATTTTTTATTTACTTTTTGGACAGGATATTGCTCTGTTACCCAGGCTGGAGTAGTGTAGTGGCACCATCCTAGCTCACTGCAGCCTTCAACTCCTGGGCTCAGGTGATCCTCCCACCTCAGCCTCCTGAGTAGCTGAGACTAGAAGCACATGCCACCACTCTGGGCCAATTTTTTTATTTTTTATAGAGATGGGGGTGGGTCTCACTATGTTGCCCAGGTTGGTCTCAAACTCCTGGCTACAGGCGGTCCTCTCTGCATGTTAGTTTTATACTTCAGTTTACATACTATAGTTTTTTTTTTTCTTTTCTTTTTTGAGGCAGTCTCACTCTGTAGCTTAGGCTGGAGTGCAGTGGTGCAATCTTGGCTCACTGCAACCCCTGCCTCCCGGGTCCCGGTTCAAGTGATTCTCCTTCCTCAGCCTCCTAAGTAGCTGGGATTATAGGCGTGCACCACCATGCCCAGCTAATTTTTGTATTTTTAGTAGAGATGGGGTTTCACCATGTTGGCCAGGCTGGTCTTGAACTCCCGACCTAGTTATCCACCTGCCTTGGCCTCCCAAGGGGCTGGGATTACAGGCATGAGCCACCATTCCTGGCCACTACATACTGTAGTTTTTACAAAAACAGGATCGTGCTGTAATACTTGTAGTTACAAGTATTGTAATTTTGCTTTTTCTACATGGTAGTTCACGGACATCAAATTTTTTTTACATGATCACTTTAATAGTCATGAGGCTGGGTGTGTGGCTCAAACCTGTAATCCCAGCACTTTGGGAGGCTGAGGCAGGCACATCATGAGGTCAGGAGTTCAAGACCAGCCTGGCCAACAGTGAAATCCCATCTGTACTGAAAATACAAAAAATTAGCCAGGTGTGGTGGTGGGTGCCTGTAATCCTAGCTACTTGGGAGGCTGGGGTAGGAGAATTGCTTGAACCTGGGAGGTTGCAGTGAGCCAAGATCGTGCCATTGCACATCAGCCTGGGCAACAGTGCCAGATTCTGTCTCAAAAAAAAAAAAAAAAGTTAGTCATGTAGGTTTCTAGCTATAAATGACTCACGATTTAACTAACCCTATATTGTTGAGCCTTTGGGTTATTTCTAAATTCTCTGCTAT